CTCTCTCTCTCTCTCTCCGAGCCACGATCTGTCTGTCATCGGCAGGACGAGAGACCATGGAATCGATCCCCGTTTGCATATCTCACAGTTGAGCAGTGCACGTCCTTCTGCAAATTAGCTACCCCCTCTTTCTCCCCCCCCCCCCAACACCTTACCCAGCGAGTTGGGGTGACTGTCCCGGGCCCCGCGTTTTGGGGGACACCCACGCAGTGTGATTTATCCCGGGCTCCGAAACCGCCCCCCCCCACCCCCTTATGGACGGCCCCGCTCCAACTTCCCCGTAAGAGGACCTCACAGAATTTATTCTGAAGCTCTTTCGATAGTTTCGAGTTTCCTGTTTATTTTGATGAGACCTCAAGAGGGAGAGAGAGAGAGAGAGGGGGGGGTGATATCAGGATGACTCTCATTGGCATAAGGGACCTTGGGGCAATCCCACATTAGTCACGGATCGACGATGCATGTTGAATGTATAGTATGTTGTAAGTATGTTAAGCTTCGTTCGCACCGTACATAGCCATCCGCATTCATCGAACGATGCTCATGGTTATTGCTTTTTTTTTTTTTACATATTTGGATTTAATGTCTTGAATCGCACTGAGTTCTTGAATTAAAATTTCCACCCCAAGCTGATGCTGCGTTGCAAGTTCCGCAAGTTTCTTAAAACAACACACGCGCACGAGCACACGTACGCGCGCACACACACACACACGCACACACACGCGCACGTTTTGTATAACGTTTAAACAAACAGGAGGAGACACCAGACAACCCAGCTGGTGGTGTGGCACCGTTCACGCGAGCGTGGTGGTTGCTGCGCTTGTGGACTGGGTGTGATCGATGTGGTGGTGGTGGTGGTGGTGGTCGTGAGATTGGGGTTATTTCTCGTCAAGGACCTATAAGCCATCAATCATCACGTCAGCTCCGGGTCATTCTCACAGCCGCCGTCGGCTCAGCCATCGTCATCATTGCAACGGCGGCGCTTTCAGACGCGCTGCTTCTGCGGCCGTCTGGAACGCTCTTGCCTTCCGATACTAGGAAGCCACTGGGGAGCTGTGATGCCCTTTGAAATCATCATCATCATCATCATCAATAAACAAGAACATCTACATACAATAATTTAAAATAGAAAATAGTAAATTTAAGGCACATAGCAGTAAGGAGGTCTCCACACGCGTGAAGATATCCTAGTATTCTAAACATAATATTTAAATTGTATCACAACGTCTCGTGTTCCATACGTTTTATCAACCAAATTCAAGTACCGTCGGCGGGCCTGATGGGCTGACGTCGCGGGCCGGATCCGGCCCGCGGGCCGTAGTTGGGTGACCCCTGATCTAGATTGACAAACACATTTCTTTAGGACTGCTTCTTGTTGTTGTGTTTGGTTTGTTACCCTTCGCCCGCAGCTCCCATTGGCGCGGGTTGGCTACGCACGGCGTGGAAGAAGTTCACACAAGCAGACGATCAGAAATGTGCGTAGACAAACCAACAACCTTGTTGCCCTACTGCCCAGCGGGTTGTGAGCTTCATAGCACACACGAGGATCTTCGCGTGGTCCACCAACCCTGCCCCGTCATGCCCCACGGTAGTCACGGCTCGACGGTGTATGTTGTATGTATGTTGTATGTATGTTGTATGTATGTTGTATGTATGTTGTATGTATGTGTTGAACTTCTGTCGCACCGTACGTAGCCCACCGTGCTAATCGGAGGTGCGGGGGAAGGACAGCAAACTAAGCACGATAATCAGTTTCATAGAAATGAGTTTGTCAATGCAGACGATGATTTAAAAGTGCACAGCTGCCAGCGGCTTCCTAATATCAGATGAAAGAGCGTTCCAGACGGCCGCATTATCATCATCACCATCACCACCATCAACGTCAACATCCCCCACTTCTTCATCACGGAGGTACCTCCTCAACATCACCACCATCAACATCATCATCACCACCACCACCATCATGTATAGATGTGTGTATGTATTTTGAACTTTTGTAGCACCGTACGTAGCCAGCCGTACTAATCGGATCTCATCCCCTGGTCACTAGTGACGATACACAGAAATAAAATAACTTAATCACTTGAAATGTGGTTCAACACTTCATTTGGCAAAACATCTCTGAAGGTGTAAATATCATCTTCTTTGGTTCTTTCGGTAAAGTCACGTAGAATGAGAATAAAATAATAAATTGATAAAATAAAATAACACAATAATGTAAATATCAATTTGGACTGTCACGCAATTAACTTTACGGCAGAGCCGGTGGGATAAATGGTGTAATCTATTGAGTGAAGATATGTTACGAGGTAGCTCCCTGATAGCCGCTTCCGTAGGCTGGTCTCGAGCACCAAGGGCTACATCCACCAGACTTGATGTAGTCTTGGATGCTGCTTGGTTTAGCTTGGAGTAGGTGTATTCGGCGTAAGGCACTGCCACTTCGAGTACTATGTACGGTTATCCGTAATAATCTTTTATATATTGGGCCCCACATCCTCGTAAGCCTATGAAGAGGTTTCGGACGAAACAATAATTAGCGGACTCTTCCCAATTAATTCCTGGAACAGTGTTCAAGTTGAAATTCCAATCCCTGGATGCTCGACGCTGCGCGAGTTCCGACAGGATTTAGCTCCGTCTCGCGACGTGCCGCACACGGAATAATCGTGATGTTATTGGCAAGACGTTTTTTTTTTGTTTGTTCCACGGCCCACACAAAAATCACGGCGACACTGCGGCTCCAAGAGCCGCACAGAACGCTCACAGCAACTCCCTCGCCGCAACTTTGTAAAGAATACAAACCACCACCCCCCCCCCTCTCGTCTCATTGTGTTGACATTTAAACACCCACACGCAGCCCCCCCCCCCCCGCCAGCGCAAACTCACTCGAGTTCAATCGTTCCCTCCGTCCCTCTCATCCCTCTCCTTCGCATCCCTCCATCCACCAACTCATCCCTCCCTCTCCTCCCTCTCTCCTTCACTCCCTTCCACCCTCCACCAATTAATTCTTCCTTGCACTAATTCATTCATCCCTCCCTCCCTCTCCTCTCTGCTCCCTCCCTCCACCAACTCATCCCTCCCTCTCCTCCTTACTCCCTCCCTCCACCAACTCATCCCTCCCTCTCTCTCCTCTCTCCTCCCTCCGCCAACTCATCTCTCCCTTTCCTCCCTCTCTCCTCCCTCCCTCCACCAACTCATCCCTCCCTCCCTCTCTCCTCCCTCCACCAACTCCTCCCTCCCTCTCCTCCCTCCCTCCACCAACTCATCCCTCCCTCTCCTCCCTACTCCCTCCCTCCACCAAGTCATCCCTCCCTCTCTCTCCTCTCTCCTCCCTCCGCCAACTCATCTCTCCCTCTCCTCCCTCTCTCCTCCCTCCCTCCACCATCTCATCCCTCCCTCTGCTCCCTCTCTCCTCCCTCCCTCCGCCAACTCATCCCTCCCTCTCTCTCCTCTCTCCTCCCTCCGCCAACTCATCCCTCCCTCCCTCTCTCCTCCCTCCCTCCACCAACTCATCCTTCCCTCTCTCTCCTCCCTCCGCCAACTCATCCCTCCCTCCCTCTCTCCTCCCTCCCTCCACCAACTCCTCCCTCCCTCTCCTCCCTCCCTCCACCAACTCATCCCTCCCTCCCTCCCTCTCTCCTCCCTCCCTCCACCAACTCCTCCCTCCCTCTCCTCCCTCCCTCCACCAACTCATCTCTCCCTCTCCTCCCTCTCTTCTCCCTCCCTCCACCAACTCATCCCTCCCTCTCCTCCCTACTCCCTACGTCCTCCTTCTCCCTCCTCCACCGCTTTCCACACTCAACACTTTCCAGCTCCTCCCATCTCCATTCATCCCTCCCACCTGCTGGCCCGGTCAATGTTTAGTGTGTGTGGTGTGTTGTGTGTGTGATGTGTGTGTGTAGTGTGATGTGTGTGTGGTGCGTGTGTGTGGTGTGTGGTGTGTGATGTGTGTAGTGTGTGTGGTGTGCGTGTGTGGTGTGATGTGTGTGTGGTGTGTTGTGTGTGCGGTGTGTCATGTGTGGTGTGTTGTGTGTGTGATGTGTGTGTGTAGTGTATGTGTAGTGTGTGTGGTGTGTGTAGTGTGATGTGTGTGGTGTGTGTGTGTGTGGTGTGTTGTGTGTGATGTGTTTGTGTGTAGTGTGTGGTGTGATGTGTGTGGTGTGTGTGTGTGGTGTGATGTGTGTGTGGTGTGTTGTGTGTGATGTGTGTGTGTGTAGTGTGTGTGGTGTGTGTAGTGTGATGTGTGTGCAGTGTGTGGTGTGTTGTGTGTGTAGTGCGTGGGGTGTAGTGTGTGGTGTGATGTGTGTGTAGTGTGGTGTGATGTGTGTGTAGTGCGTGGTGTGTAGTGTGTGTGGTGTGATGTGTGTGTGGTGTGTTGTGTGTGTGATGTGTGTGTGGTGTGTTGTGTGTGTGATGTGTGTGTGTGGTGTGATGTGTGTGTGATGTGTGTTTGGTGTGTGTGTGATGTGTGTGTGTGTAGTGCGTGGTGTGTAGTGTGTGTGGTGTGATGTGTGTGTGGTGTGTTGTGTGTGTGATTGTGTGTGTGGTGTGTTGTGTGTGTGATGTGTGTGTGTGTAGTGCGTGGTGTGTAGTGTGCGTGTTTTTCTCTCTCTCCCCATTTCGCTCGGTTGAACTGCGCTCCCCTGCGCCCACGCACGCACATGCACACACACGCACACATACACACACGCACACACACACGCACTCACGCACGGACACACGGGCGCTTGCACGCACACGCACGCACGCACACACACACACGCACACACACGCGCACATACACACGCACGCACACACACGCACACATACACACCCACGCACCCACGCACACACACACGCGCACACACACACGCACGCACGCACACACGCAAGCACACACACGCACATACACACGCACACACACGCACACACACGCACCCACGCACACACACACGCACACACACACACGTACCCACGCACGCACACACGCACACACACACACACGCACACACACACACGCACACACACGCACACACACACGCACTCACTCACGCGTGCGTCCGTATCTGGGTAGCTGGAGGCTTTCCCTCCCTCCCCCCCCATCGCTGTGGCTGCGTGGGGATTGCCATTCGGAGGGTTCTCAATTCCACACGGAGGAGCCACCACCACCACCGCCGCCGCCGCTACTGCCGCTGCTGCTGCCGCTCTGTATAAAAGTGTGGCGGTGTTGGTTGGTGGTTTGCGGAGCCTTTGCTTTTTTTATCAACACCAACTTGAGGTTGCGATTTAGAGGACATAGCCCCGGGCGTTTGAGACTGCTCCCTCCGCCTCCTCCTCCTCCTCTCCTCCTCGTGCTCCTCGTTCCTCCTCCTCCTGTTCCACACCGCCCCCCCACCACCACCACACTCCACTCCCATCGGCTATTCATCGCAGCTCTCATTCTCTCGGGCGGAGGCCGGAGATAGGAGAGGCAGAGGGGAGAGAGAGGAGGGGAGAGAGAGAGAGGGAGAGAGCGACAGGGGAGAGAGAATACGTAGACCACATATTCAACACGACTTTAGTGAGACACACAGAGAGATAGAGGAGGGGAGAGAGAGAGAATACGTAGACCACAGATTCAGCACGACTTTAGTGAGACACACAGAGAGAGAAAGAGGAGGGGAGAGAGAGAGAGAGAGAGCGACAGGAGAGAGAGAATACGTAGACCACAGATTCAACACGACTTTAGTGAGACACAGAGAGAGAGAGGAGGGGAGAGAGAGAGCGACAGGAGAGAGAGAGAATACGTAGACCACAGATTCAACACGACTTTAGTGAGACACACAGAGAGAGAGAGAGAAGGGGAGAGAGAGAGAGGAGGACGAGTGAGAGAGGAAGATATTTTTTTTTTACAAGTAATTTTCCGTCGTTGTTGGCTTCAGCCGTGGGGCTGACGTTGCCGAGATGAGCGGCTATCGTTGCGGGAAGAGGCGGCGAGAGGAGTTCGTCCGTTAGGAGTCGGGGGGGTCCCCGACTCATCGAGAGGTCGTGACGGACACCGCTGGTGTCATCAGCAGTCGAGGTGGTGGGGGTGAGGGGGGGGTGGTCCCTTCGTTCTTTGGTGCTCCGCGAGGAGCGACACTCGGCAGGAGTCTCGAGCCACGACGCAGATCCATCCACCTCGGGTTGACGCCACCGGTGAGTCCATCGCACACGCTCACAGAGACGAAGATCCCCCGTGTAGCCTTAACAGACTGTAGGGGCAAGTGCTGTCAGCGAGCAGCTATGAAGGGCCGGACGGGTACACGAGGGGGGTGGGTGGGCCAGCACCACGCCCGACCGCCTTTGTCTCCCCAGTGGCGATGTTCACGACACAGCACGTACTCATTTAAGGCTGAGTCGACCTAGGGGAAGCCCAGGACCGGTTCAGATAAATCGTCACTGGGTGTTGGCCGTGAGCGGGAATCAAACCCGGGTCGCCAGGTTCATAGCGCAGCGCGCTAACCGCTACATTACCGCTCCCCCCCCCACACACATACACACGCGCAAAGATCCCCCGTATAGCCTTAACAAGCCATTGGGGCAAGTGCTGTTAGCGAGCACCTATGAAGGCTGGCACGGCACATGAGGGGGTGGGTGGCCAGCGCCACGCCCGGCCGCCTTTGTCTCCCTAGTGGCGATATTTACTACACGCCGCACCAGGCACTCATTTGAGGCTGAGTCGACCTAGGGGACGCCCAGGACCGGTGCAGATAAATCGTCACCGGGGTTGCCGGTGAACGGGAATCGAACTCGGGTACGCGGGTTGATAGCTCGGCGCGCTAACCACCGTACCACCGCTCCCTCCACACACACACAACACACACGACACACACGGCACACACAACACACACCACACACACACAACACACACACGACACACAACACACACGACACACACAACACACACGACACACACGACACACACACGACACACAACACACACGACACACACAACACACACGACACACACACGACACACACAACACACACAACACACACGACACACACAGGACACACACGATACACACACAACACACCACACACAACATACACACACAACAAACACACCACACACAACACACGACACACACACACCACACACAACATACACACACGACACACACACGACACACATCACACAACACGACACACACAACACACACACGACACACACACAACACATGACACACAACATACACACACAACATACACACACAACACACACGGCACACATTCAAGTCCACAACTCAAGCGACAGGTTGTTGTGCTCATTTGTAAAACTTCTGTGCAATTGTGTCGGCGATGCTCGCATCGCAAGTCGCAAATTGGATTCCGTCTGCCGGTCAGGCGCGGCTTATTGGAGCAATGGGGGCAATGCGCCAGCATTAGCGCGAGCATGGGAATTGCAGGGGCTGCGCTTTTACCTTTGCGCCGAAACGGCTGTGTGGAGCACTTAAGTTATCTGTTTGGCCGTGAGTGTGTGTCTGTACGTGTGTGTGTGTATGATAGGTGCGACTCGTTAACAGCACTTGCCCCAACAGTCTGTTCAGGCTCTACGGGGGATCTTTGTCTTTGTGTGTGGTGTGTGTGTCCGTGTGGGGATCGATAGCGTGCTTCGGTTAGCGCTACGCTGCGCTACGAACCCGGCGAACCGAGTTCGATTCCCGCTCACGGTCACCAACACCGGTGACGATTCTATGAACAGGTCATGGGCCTCTCCTAGGTCGACTCAGCCTAAAATTAGTATCTGGTGCGCTGTGTAAACATCGCCACTGGGGAGAGACAAAGGCGGCCGGTCCTGGTGCTGGCCACCCACCCCCCTCGTGTGTATCGTGCCGGCCTTCACCGCTGCTCCTCGCTGACAGCACTTGGCCCGACAGCCTGTCCACAGGCTACACGGGGGACCTTTGTCTTTGTCAGTGTGTGCCGTGGCACGGCCGTGGCAGTCGCCTCAAAGGGGCCGCGCGGCATCGCCGATGATGACCGCTGAAGAGCGGCGCAGCCAGGCCGAGCCCCGCCCCGATGCTGGCCCGGTTGGATGGGTACGGTGCGAAAGAAGTTCGAACACGCCCCGTCAATGGCATTGATTATTGACGGGGCCGCCGGTGGGATTGCTAAACCGTTTCTTTGCTCTTTAGCTTCCAAACACAAACAAATTGAACATCGAAGTATTTTTTTTAGCCTCGCTCAATTGTTGGCCCGTGCAGAAACTCCCCGTTTCTATGGCCGGGGACCGGTTCATCCAGAGTATGTTCGCGTGACGTATCCTGGATGGATGAATAGCCCCCTCACTGCATGGTGGGAGTCCTTTATCCAGCGGTAGTGGAACATTTGGAAATTCCACATTCCTATGGCAGGAATGTACCCGAATATATAAGTCAAGCGGTGTTGCCCCATCAATGCTGAGTGAGATGGATGATGACCCTGATGATGATGGTGATGATGGTTGTTATAATAATCATAAGTATGATCGTGCCGATTCCTGATTTCCATGAAAATGAATGATGCAGCTTTTTGCCGATACTGAAGATGATCGTGGTGATGGCGATTGATATGATAACGATGCTTCTGCTGCTGATGAGTGGTGGTGGTAATCGATGACGATGATGATTCTCACGACGGTGACATTTTACCCCCCTCCCTCGCCTGGTATGCAGGAGATCGTGGGTTCGATCCCGACCCTGATGCGTGCATATTTGGAATTTGCATTCAATCTAGATTTGAAGTTTTCGCGACTACAGTGATCCACACTCTTTGTGCTTCTTTCGGTAAAGTCACGTAGTAGGTAGAAAAATAATAATAAGAAATTAAATCACGACGTTTCGATCGCAACACAAGCAATCATCTTCAGGTGGGAAAACCACAGCAATTTTTTTGTTGTTGAAGTGGGTGAGAGATACCGTGGTAAGAGGTTATATAAGTAAAGAGATGGGACAGGGGGGTAGGGTAGGGGGGTAGGGGAGGGGGGCGTTGCGTGGACGATAGGAGAGAGAGACGTGAAGCTAGGACGGTGGGAAGTGGAATTTGGATTGTCTCTCTTTCTCCCCGTGGCCGAGTGGATTTAGATATTCACTATTTTATTTTATTTTACCAGGTAAGGCCCCACTGAGCTCCGTTGCATCTTTTCAGAAGCCACCTGGCCACAAATGATAGCCTCAACGAAGTGGCTTATCACGTGCGAATGTATGGCAAGCAGCCAAACGCTCTAAACGCGTGGTGATGTTTATTCTAAATGTGGAGGGAAAAATCGGAGGACCCGGTAGAAAAATCCACGCGACCACGGTGGAGAACGCACCGACGCTAAATATGCAGGCTGTCAGGGTAGGGATCGAACCGACGACCTCCTGTATACCAAGCGAAGTAGTTAACATCTCACCACCGACATTGAATCAACACGCGTTGAGAATATGTGGCTGTGATAAGTGTCCACACGACGATGATGATGATAAGCCCACTTCGTTGAGCTATCATCTGTGATAGGCCAGGTGACTTACCGATCAAAACCAAAGAGCCGTAGAGCTCAGTGGGCTTCAACGCGGTAAAATAAAACGGCGTATTGAAACAAACCAAAAAACGATTTGAGTTTTTTTTTTACATCGTTTCACATTTCGCCTGAACGCGGGGAGCTGCGTTCGTGAGCGAGGCCTCTGTAAATCACCCGAGGCGTGGTGCCTCACGCCCTCGATCCATCACTGCGGGGGCGTGGAGGGCGTGGAGGGTGCCCTGCACAGGAACCTCGCTGTGCTGGGGCGAGGAAGAGGAGGAGGAGGCCCGGTTCATTGCGCGGTACAGCAAAGGGGGGTGTATGACCTTGACCTCCCGGCTAGCGACACTGATGAGTGTTGACCACTCCACCACCACCACCACCACCACTCCCTCCCCCCCGCCACCCCCAGCACGCAGCGCTTTGCTCAATCCACCGCTGGATGAAGAGCTCCCCCGTGCCAAATTGATGATGATGGGGGCGGGGGGAGGGGTGCAGTTGTGAGAGCAAACTTCACCATTATGGGGGTAGAGCGGTGTAGGCGCAGTGGAACGCTCGCTGCCCCGTGACCCCGGTGACCCGAGTTCGACTCCAAGTCACGGAACAACACCGGTGGCGACCGATATCGCCCCACCACGACCACTCCACCAGCCCGCAGCTGACCAGAATGGTGAAGTATGGTCAAACAACCCCGTGCCTGACATTGCGTTTGGAGACCTACATCCGGTAGTTAATTTACACTTTAAAAACAAACAAACAAAAAAACCAGTTTAAATTGTCAATGTTAATGTGTCACTTTACCTCCTTCAACACGACAAACACAAGCAGGACTCTCCTGCAAACCAGTCTGGACACTCAGCTCGCCTCTCCTTTATGAATACAGCACATGTCTGTTGGGCCTTTATCAATCTACTGCTGGATGAGTGTTACCTTTCCGTCCCCTGCCATGCCATGTGGGGTCACGGGAGCTGTTTTGGCCATACTTCACCAGTGCCAGGTGCGACGCAGAGAGGATTCAAGTCGACGTTAAAACTCTTTTTATATATATACTCTGGGTCTTTCGGTAAAGTCACGTGGATAGGTTCAAAGCAAATAACCCAAAAAAAAATCACAGCAAAAAACGACGACGTTTCGATCACAACACAAGCGATCGTCATCAGGAGGCAACAAAATAGTGGGGAAGCTGCTGAGGCAGACTGTTTTCAAGGGTTAAAATCAGTGTAGCCCAAGGGTCATGAACGAAATGGGCGGGGATAGTTATGTTAATGTGACGAGATGAGCACGTTAATGTAGGATCGCAGAGCAGCGATGTTGAGCTAGGCGAGCGAGGTGGCTGCGTGAGTGTGGGAAATTGAACCTGTTCATGTAAAATCAGAGAGCCGAAAATAACAACTAACATGGGAAGGTGGCAGGATGGGAACATCACAGCCAGTTCTGACTTAAACTGGTTGATAACGTCCTTCCAATGATTGCTAAGTTTGTACCCATCTTCTCGATCGAAGTTGTGTCTGTGGCTGTATACGTGGATGGCTTCATGAACGAATCTTTGTTGCTGGCAAAGGTCTTAGATAAATCAATTTCGCGTGAGCCCACCGCTTTAAAACAATGATCAGCCACGCCCGAGGTATTGGTCTTACAGTGTTTCAGATCTGCCTTATGTTCACGAACACGGTCCGAGACATGTCGCTTAGTTTCACCAATGTAACTGCTGCCGCAGACACAGCTTAGTTTGTTAGACGCCGGGGTATTACTGCGCCTATTTTAGTTCCTTTTCAAAAGCGACCTGGCCATCACAAATGATGGCTCAAATAAGTGCATTATCATTATCATCATCATCGTCGTGTGGAATTTCATCGCAGCCAAATACTCCAAACGCGTGATGTTGATTCTCAATGCGGAGGGGAACACCCAGAGATTAGAAAAGTCCTCGCGACCACGGCGAGAGAGAGAGAGAGAGACACCGCAAACTCCAAATATACAGCAGCAGGCGTCGTCAGGGTCGGGATCTAACACACGACCTCCTGTATACCAGGCGAGGTAGTTAACATCTCCTAGCCACCGTGATGATGATGATGAGAGAGACACGCAAACTCCAAAAATATACAGCAGCAGGCATCAGGGTCGAGATCGAACCCACGACCTCGTGCGCACCTGGCGAGGTAGTTAACATCTCCTAGCCACCGTGATGATGATGAGAGAGAGAGACACGCAGACTTCAAATATACAGCAGCAGGCGTCAGGGTCGGAATCTAACACAAGACCTCCTGTATACCAGGCGAGGTAGTTAACATCTCCTAGCCACCGTGATGATGATGAGAGAGAGAGACACGCAAACTCCAAATATACAGCAGCAGGCGTCGTCAGGGTCGGGATCGAACCCACGACCTCGTGCGCACCAGGCGAGGTAGTTAACATCTCCTAGCCACCAGTCGCCACTGATGTGAGCCGCGGTCGTGAACCACCGCACCGCTCGTCGGCCGAGTTTGCCGTTCTAGCGCGCTGACCGCTGCGCCACCGCTCCTCTCACAATCGCATGCCATCTGCGTCGTTTAACTTCGTCGGAATGGGGGGGGGGGAGTCGGAGCAATGTTTTAGCAGCAGCAGCAGCAGCATCACGATCACCGTCAATCACGAGGCCGCAGGCAATCGTGTGGGTAAACTCAACCGGGCCCTAAACACACAGCGCACAACCGCACACGCGCGCTCAGTGAATGAATGAAGACATTCCCCGTGAGCACAATGCACAGCACCGGGGGGGTGGAGGGGCTGCAGAGAGAGAGAGAGGGGGGGGGGGTGCTTACAGCTTGCAGACGCCAGCCCCCACGCGGTCTGTCCGCTTAGCGAGCCGCTCGCGACGATGATTGGACCCCATCCGAGTGCCCTCTGGGCTCACTGCACCGGGGGCCACACGTCGCGCGCGCACACAATGCCCCCCTCTGTCCGACAGCCTGACTGTCGGTGATTCTGTCTGTCTGTCTGCTCAGTCTGTCTGCCTGTGTTCCGTCCGCTAGGCTGTCTGTACGTCTCTGTCTCTGCGTCTCTGTCTCTGCGTCAGACTGTCCCGTCTGTCCGTCCATCACTCAGTCTGTCCGTCTGTGTATCAATCTTTAAGTCTGTCTGTCTGCCCATCACTCAGTTTGTCCGTCTGTGTATCAATCTTTATGTCTGTCTGCCCATCACTCAGTTTGTCCGTCTGTGTATCAATCTTTATGTCTGTCTGTCTGCCCATCACTCAGTCTGTCTGTGTATCAATTTGTCTGTCTGTCTGCCCATCACTCAGTTTGTCCGTCTGTGTATCAATCTTTATGTCTGTCTGTCTGCCCATCACTCAGTCTGTCTGTGTATCAATTTGTCTGTCTGTCTGCCCATCACTCAGTTTGTCCGTCTGTGTATCAATCTTTATGTCTGTCTGTCTGCCCCTCACTCAGTTTGTCCGTCTGTGTATCAATTTGTCTGTCTGTCTGCCCACCACTCAGTCTGTCTGTCTGTGTATCAATCTTTATGTCTGTCTGTCTGCCCATCACTCAGTCTGTCTGTGTATCAATCTGTCTGTCTGCCCACCACTCAGTCTGTCCATCTACGCATCAATCCGTCTGTCCGTCCATCACTCAGCGTGGTGCTGGCCACCCACCCCCTCTTGCCCCAACAGTCTGTTGAGGCTACATGGGGGATCTTTGTATTTTTGAGCAGCGTGGAACAAACATCGTCACAGCTACAACGGTGTCCAATCACCGCACTGCAGGTCGCACGCTCGCTCATTCACCCGCCCACTCACTCACCCGGTCACTCATTCACTCACCTACCCCGCTCGCCCAAATCATTCGGGCACTCATTCACCCACCCACCCACTCAATCACCCATTCACCCACCTAACCCCACTAACGCACCATCTCACTGACTCACTCGCTCGCCCCCCTCCCACGCACTCACTGAACCGCTCACCCAACCAATTCACCACGCTGCAGCTCGCTCTACTTAATGCTTCTTCCCAGACACCGCTCCACTTTGCAATTCTCATCCTCCTCCTCCTCCCACTATCACCACCACCACCACCATCGTCGTCCCGTTCCCCAAGTTCTTACAACAACTTTGCTAAACTCAATCAAACGTGTGACACCCCTATCCATCACACCTTCAACAGCGCTGTTTGTTGCTGGCTGCTTGGTGTATTTGGCGGGGTGTGTGGGGTGCGTTGGGCACCGTGTGAGCTCATCAACCGTAAGTTAAACGACAAAAAAACCCATCTAGGATTGAATTGACGCTGGGTTGCTACTGCTGATGATTCTGCTGCCGATGATGCTGCTGCTGCTGATGATGCTGCTGCTGATGCTGCTGATGATGCTGCTGCTGATGCTGCTGCTGATGATGTTGCTGATGATGCTGCTGCTGATGATGCTGCTGATGCTGCTGCTGCTGATGATGATGCTGCTGCTGCTGATGATGCTGCTGAATCTGCTGCTGATGATGATGCTGATGATTATGCTGCTGCTGCTGATGATGCTGCTGCTGATACTGCTGATGCTGAATCTGCTGCTGCTGATGATGATGCTGATGATTATGCTGCTGCTGATGATGATGCTGCTGCTGATACTGCTGATGCTGCTGCTGTTGCTACTGCTGATGCCAAGGGCTACACAGTGCAGGTCTGCACTGGTATAAACACATTCGTTGGAGGCTTAGGGATCTGTTGAACTTCACGGTTTAGTCCGTGTGAACCCATGAGACATAAGCCGCCCTCCTCCACAGAGAGACCCCCCCCCCCATCCCATCCCACCCCCGGGTCTCACACCATTATCCCAGCCGCCAGGATTTAACCTCCCCCTTTGTTCTGCGTGGGGTTTGGGAGATTCCAATGGGACACGTGGTCACAGGGGGTGTGTGTGGGTGGGGCGGGGGGGGGGTGTGCGGGTTACGATTTGCAGTGGTCCCATAGCCGCGGCATTGTCATCGCCGTTGCTGAGTCATCCCCGTTTGTGAGTGGATCAGTCCACTTCGCTCATCGCACCCCTCCGGCTTCAGGGGGGTGGGGGGTTGTGTCGTGCCGGGTCGTACCATTAAGCTCAAATTAGGCGGGGGGTAGGGCGGTACAGATGATTCAATGGCAAATGTCCCGCAGTTTTTTTTATTTGTTATGAAGAAGGCCCCTTGGCCGAAACGTTGCCTATCGTATATTATTTTTTTTTTACCACCATGAACGTGTTGAATTGTTTTGTTTTTATACCCTGATGTGGAGGGATTGTGAGCTGCTCTCGGCACGGTGCGGCGAAACGTCGGACCAACGCGACATCGGAGAGCTGAGCAGCAGGCAGTGGTTGAAGTGGTTGCTGAATATTGAGAGGTGGCAATTGGTGGTGGGTCTCCCCTAGGTCGACTCAGCCTGAACATCCCAAGCGCGGTATTGTTGAGGGGTGCTTAAGCGCACGTGACTTCGCACGCATTAGGCGCTCGCTAATGACGCTTTTCTCTCGAGAGAGACCTGCCATGGGAATGTGGAATTTCCACCACTTCCTCATGGTGCCACCAACAGAGACGGGGCAACATCCCACGCTCGTTTTTAGTCTTGATATACTTGGACTTTTTAGCGAATATAAATCTGAAATGTACGATCGTTCCTTATGCAGATGTACTGATTTTCTACGAGCTTTACTACCCGGCATTTCCCGGGACCCTGGATTCTTCTCTTGGATTCATACACGGCCTACGCGGAGGTTGGAGGGGGGGGTGGGATGCGTGACGTCAGCAGGCACACTGCGTGACGCTGCCGCATGCGGGTGACATCACAGATGTGACGTAACCGCTCACTTGCCGTGCAAAATATATCTATCATTGCGCTCCCCCCCCCCCCCTCCCAAAATACAAAAGTCTATTTTTATACTTTTTGCATTGTGTACAGTCTAGAAGCTACCGACATGCCAAATTTCAAGTTTGCTGCATGTCGGGAAGTATGGTTAAACATTTCGAACGGGCACACATATTCACAAATTTCCCTTTTTTATATATATAGATTATAAGTGAAAATTATACTGGTAGGAACCTCTGGTTACACCAGCCCACAGGGGATTATTGTGTCTGTCCGTCCGTCGTGCATCCAAAAATGGGAGGGGTGGGGCTGGGTGGGGATGGGAGGGTGGGGAGGGTGGGGCTGGGTGGGAGGTGGGAGGGGTTTTGCTGGTTGGGGAGGGGCTGGTCACCCCGTGGTGCCCTTATAAAACTCAACGTTTAGCCTACTCACGCCGGCTTGTGCCCGCCCTCACAGTCGGGCATATTGTGTGGAATACACCACGTGGTGGTGCCGCCGTTGACCCTGGCCATTGACCGAGCAACCCAACGTTCCTACTACCAGCTCCCTCTGCAGCAATGTGATTATTATTGTTTACGATCATTCTCCGCAGGGTTGCCGGGCCCACTCTCCGTGATCGCGTGAGGAGCTCGGTAATCCGGGACAGGCTTCGAGTCGAGCCACCGCAGCTCCTTCGGATCGAGAGGAGCCAGCCGAGGTGGTTCGGGCCACCAGGTAAGGATGCACCCCCCCCCCCCCCCGCCCGGTAGACTCCCCCTGGAACTGTAGCGGGCAGCAGCAGCAGCAGCTGGGTCCCACTGGGGGAAGACCCCGGGGCAGGCCCAGGGCACCGCTGCCCGTGGTGGGATGACGTCGCTCGGCTGCCCTGGGGACGCCTGGGAACACCCCCTACCCCCCCCTCCAGGAAGTGTAGTGTATAGTGTAGTGTATAGTGTATAATACTGGATAGTGTAGTGGATAGTGTATAGTAGTGGATAGTGTAGTGTATAGAAGTGTATAGTGTATAGTAGTGTATAGTGTAGTGTATAGTAGTGTATAGTGTAGTGTATAGTAGTGTATAGTGTAGTGTATAGTAATGTATAGTGTATAGTAGTGTAAAGTGTAGTGTATAGTAGTGTATAGTGTAGTGTATAGTAGTGTATAGTGTAGTGCATAGTAGTGTATAGTAGTGTATAGTGTAGTGTATGGTAGTGTATAGTGTAGTGTATAGTAGTGTATAGTAGTGTAGTGTAATAGTAGTGTATAGTGTATAGTAATGTAGTGTATAGTAGTGTAGTGTGATAGTAGTGTATAGTGTATAGTAATGTAGTGCTGGAGTCTGTCGCTAGGGAAAGGGAGGTGTGGACTGCCACTACTCAACACGCTGCTGTAGTGTATAATGTAGTGTATAGTAGTGTATAGTGTAGTGTATAGTAGTGTAAAGTGTAGTGTATGGTAGTGTATAGTGTAGTGTATGGTAGTGTATAGTGTATAGTAATGTAGTGCTGGAGTCTGTCGCTAGGGAAAGGGAGGTGTGGACCGCCACCACTCAACACGCTGCTGTAGTGTATAGTGTGGTGTATATTAGTGTATAGTGTAGTGTATGGTAGTGTATAGTATAGTGTATAGTAGTGTAGTGTAATAGTAGTGTATAGTAATGTAGTGCTGGAGTCTGTCGCTAGGGAAAGGGAGGTGTGGACTGCCACTACTCAACACGCTGCTGTAGTGTATAATGTAGTGTATAGTAGTGTATAGTGTAGTGTATAGTAGTGTAAAGTGTAGTGTATGGTAGTGTATAGTGTAGTGTATGGTAGTGTATAGTGTATAGTAATGTAGTGCTGGAGTCTGTCGCTAGGGAAAGGGAGGTGTGGACCGCCACCACTCAACACGCTGCTGTAGTGTATAGTGTGGTGTATATTAGTGTATAGTGTAGTGTATGGTAGTGTATAGTATAGTGTATAGTAGTGTAGTGTAATAGTAGTGTATAGTGTATAGTAATGTAGTGCTGGAGTCTGTCGCTAGGGAAAGGGAGGTGTGGACTGCCACTACTCAACACGCTGCTGTAGTGTATAATGTAGTGTATAGTAGTGTATAGTGTAGTGTATAGTAGTGTAAAGTGTAGTGTATAGTAGTGTATAGTGTAGTGTATAGTTGTGTATAGTGTAGTGTATAGTGCAGTGTATAGTAGTGTATAGTGTCTAGTAATGTAGTGCTGGAGTCTGTCGCTATGGAACGGGAGGTGTGGACCGCCACCTCTCAACACGCTGCTGCTGTGACCCTCACCAGGACAAGCGGACTGAGAAACTAACGAACGAACAATAGTGTGACCAGGATTGATTTACTGAGTCTCAACAATATTTATTTCAAGGAGGGTGCTGTCAATGTGTCGCAGTAGCCTGCGATGTTGCTGCTGCTGCTGCGTGATCCCAAATTGAGTGAATTGTGGGTACATTTTCAGCATTGGGATGTTTTCAGCCAAATATAAGTTACGTTGCATGGAATTGTTTTTGTCTGTTAATGTGTAGCTATGGGAGGAAAGGAGAGCATACAGAACAGGGCGAGATCATACAAACTCCACTCACTCACACTCTACAGAACAAGAGATCATACAAACTCCACTCACTCACTCTGTACAGAACAGGAGATCATACAAACTCCACTCACTCACTCTCTACAGAACAGGAGGAGATCATACAAACTCCACTCACTCACACTCTACAGAACAAGAGATCATACAAACTCCACTCACTCACTCTCTACAGAACAGGAGGAGATCATACAAACTCCACTCACTCACACTCTACAGAACAGGAGGAGATCATACAAACTCCACTCACTCACTCTCTACAGAACAGGACGAGATCATACAAACTCAACTCACACACTCTCTACAGAACAAGAGATCATACAAACTCCACTCACTCACACTCTACAGAACAAGACGAGATCATACAAACTCCACTCACTCTCTCTACAGAACAGGAGGAGATCATACAAACTCCACTCACTCACACTCTACAGAACAGGAGGAGATCATACAAACTTCACTCACTCACTCACTCTCTACAGAACAGGACGAGATCATACAAACTCCACTCACTCACTCTCTACAGAACAGGAGGAGATCATACAAACTCCACTCACTCACTCTCTACAGAACAGGACGAGATCATACAAACTCCACTCACTCACTCACTCTCTACAGAACAGGACGAGATCATACAAACTCCACTCACTCACTCTCTACAGAACAGGAGGAGATCATACAAACTCCACTCACTCACTCTCTACAGAACAGGAGGAGATCATACAAACTCCACTCACTCACACTCTACAGAACAGGAGGAGATCATACAAACTCCACTCACTCACTCTCTACAGAACAGGAGGAGATCATACAAACTCCACTCACTCACTCTCTACAGAACAGGAGGAGATCATACAAACTCCACTCACTCACTCTCTACAGAACAGGAGGAGATCATACAAACTCCACTCACGCACTATCTACAGAACAGGAGGAGATCATACAAACTCCACTCACTCACACTCTACAGAACAGTACGAGATCATACAAACTCCACTCACTCATACTCTACAGAACAGGAGGAGATCATACAAACTCCACTCACTCACTATCTACAGAACAGGACGAGATCATACAAACTCCACTCACTCTTCTAGATTTAAAGCTTTCGTGACTGCTAGGATCCATACTCTTTGGTTCTATTGGGTAAAGTCACGTAGGTGAAAATAAAATAACAAAAAATCACGACGTTTCGGCCACAACACAAGCGGCCTTCATCAGGTGAAGGGACGAGACTGTCTGGAGGACAGCGCTGGAGTGGGAGAAGCCACGCTTAGATCACAAGCTTAAAGGTCGTGATCTAAGCGTGGCTTCTTCCACTCCATCGCTGTCCTCCAGACAGTCTCGTCCAATCACCTGATGAAGGCCGCTTGTGTTGTGGCCGAAACGTCGTGTTTTGTTATTTTATTTTCACCTACGTGACTTTACCCAATAGAACCAAAGAGTATCCACTTACTCTCTCTACAGAACAGGGGGAGATCATACAAACTCCACTCACTCACTCTGTAGAACAGGAGGAGATCATACAAACTCCACTCACTCTCTCTACAGAACAGGGGGAGATCATACAAACTCCACTCACTCACTCTGTAGAACAGGAGGAGATCATACAAACTCCACTCACTCTCTCTACAGAACAGGGGGAGATCATACAAACTCCACTCACTCACTCTGTAGAACAGGGGGAGATCATACAAACTCCACTCACTCTCTCTACAGAACAGGGGGAGATCATACAGACTTCACTCACTCTCTCCAGAACAGAGGGAGATCATACAGACTCCACTCACTCTCTACAGAACAGTGGGAGATCATACAGACTCCACTCACTCTACAGAACAGTGGGAGATCATAAAACTCCACTCACTCACTCTGTAGAACAGGGGGAGATCATATAGACTCCACTCACTCTCTCCAGAACCGAGGGAGATCATACAGACCCCACTCACCCTCTACAGAACAGTGGGAGATCATCACTCACTCACACTCTACAGAACAGGAGGAAATCATACAAACTCCGCTCACTCACTCACTCTCTCTACAGAACAGTGTGAGAATATACAGACTCCACTCACTCTCTACAGAACAGGGTGGGAGATGATACAAACTCCACTCAGAAAGGCGCCCGAGTCGGGAATCGAACTGAGACCCCTTCTTGCTGTGATGCCACACGAGTTTTGGCACCACCCTGCCACCCACAATAACTAGGAGTGGTGGCGCAGCGGTTAGCACACTGCGCTACGTGGGCATGCATAGCGGCAGCCTGTGAACTTTCACCAACCCGCATCGACCGGCGCGGTGAAGTATGTCAAACGACGATGCACCTCTGATTATATTATCGCGGTCGGCTGCGTACGGCGCTAAAGAAGTTCAACACTCACACGTGCGCACACAGAGGCGTGTGCGTGCCTTGCATCCAACGGCGGCTTTGCAATGAGCCGCGTGAGAAATCCGGAGTGAGATTCGTCGTGTGACGAATATATATCTCAGCCGAACTTTTATTGTGCGGGCCAATAACCAAATTAGTAAATATCGCTCAGTACGAACTTGCTAAAGGCAGTCGAGTCAACACACCTCGTCTGGTCTACAGGAGGTCGTGAGTTCGATCCTGACCCTGACGCCTGCTGTATATTTGGAGTTTGGGTGTCTCTCTCTCCCCGTTGTGAGATGTTAACTACCTCGTCTGGTCTACAGGAGGTCGTGAGTTCGATCCAGACCCTAACGCCTGCTGCTGCATATTTGGAGTGTGCGTGTCTCTCTCTCTCTCTCTCCAGGTGGTGAGATGTTAACTACCTCGCCTGCTGTACGGGAGGTCGTGGGTTTGATCCCGACCCTGACGCCTGCTGTATATTTGGAGTTTGTGTGTGTGTCTCTCTCTCTCCCCGTGGTGAGATGTTAACTACCTCGCCTGGTATACAGGAGGTCGTGAGTTCGATCCAGACCCTAACGCCTGCTGCTGTATATTTGGAGTTTGCGTGTCTCTCTCTCTCCCCGTGGTGAGATGTCAACTACCTCGCCTGGTATACAGGAGGTCGTGAGTTCGATCCTGACCCTGACGCGAGCTGTATATTTGGAGTTTGTGTGTCTCTCTCTTTCCCCGTGGTGAGATGTTGACTACCTCGTCTGGTATACAGGAGGTCGTGAGTTCGATCCAGACCCTGACGCCTGCTGCTGTATATTTGAAGTTTGTGTGTCTCTCTCCCCGTGGTCGCGTGGGTTTTTCTCCGGGTCCTCCGGTTTTTCCCTCCGCATTTTGAATGAACATCACCACGCGTTCAGAGTTATTTGGCTGATATTAATGTCCACACGATGAGCCACTTCCTTGCGGCTATCATTTGTGATGGGCAGGGCGCTTCTTAAAAAGAGCTACACAGCTTACCTGGTAAAATAAAAAAAAATAGTTTAGTTTAATTAATTTCAGTGTATTTATTGTAAAAAACATTTTTTGCGTAAAATAATTGCAAAATATATGCAAAGTTCGTTAAATACCTAAACAAAGTTCGTCGAATGGAGGCATATCGAGGTATTTACTGCGTACTCTTTGGGTCTATTGGGTAAAGTCACGTAGGTGAAAATAAAATAACAAAAAATCACGACGTTTTGGCCACAACCCAAGCGGCCTTCGTCAGGTGAAGGGACGAGACTGTCTGGAGGACAGCGCTGGAGTGGAAGAAGCCACGCTTAGATCACGACCTTTAAGCTGTGTGAGAAGAAAAAGACCAAGCGCCTTGACAAAGGAATTAGCATTTTCACCTACGTGACTTTACCCAATAGAACCAAAGAGTATGGATACTAGCAGTCACGAAAGCTTTAAATCTAGAATATTCACTGCGTAGTTTACATTTTTATTTTGTACACTCGGAACCAAGTGCGCCCTGCAAGTGGCCACGTCCACAGCAACGTGGAATGTCCCTCCCGCCTCCCCAACAACAACAACAGATGTAGCAGGTGAGGACCTTTTCTTTTTGAACACGAGAGAGGTGGGGAGGGTGGTGCTGGGGTGGGGTGGGGCGAGTAAGGAGAGCCCCGCCAAACCCTCAAAAAAACACAAACTCCCCGTGGCCGAATTTGATTGAAAAAAAAGAAACCCCACAAATGTTGTCTGTAACCTCCATCCACGTCGAAGTCGTCCTCCCTGGGAACTCGCCACCACCGCTGACGGGAGGCGGTTCGATTCCACGGTGGCCATGGAACGTTCATCACGATGCCCCCCTCCACGTCACTCCACCACCCCCGCCCTCCACCCACACATTGACTCCTGCCTCGGTTGTTGTGTTTGAGAGTTGGCATCCGCTCGTCGCCGTTGGTTAAGATGCCAGTTGAGACATCGGTGTGGTGGGGAGGAGGATTCGGGGTGGTGATGGGTCGGACACGTGGTGTGTAGGGAGGAGGATTGGGTGGTGATGGGTGGGACGCGTGGTGTGTAGGGAGGAGGTGGTGATGAGTGGGACACGTGGTGTGTAGGGAGGAGGAGGTGGTGATGAGTGGGACACGTGGTGTGCGGGGTTTGGAGTGGTGCCCAGAGGTGGCGGACAACGGAAAGAAAATACCTCAAGTCAGGCGGCGGTGGTGATGAAGATTTGGGGAGCGGTAGTGTAGCGGTTAACACGCTGCGCTATGAACCTGGTGACCCGGGTTCAATTCCCGCTCACGGCCAACACCGGTGACGATTTTTTGAACCGGTCCTGGGCCTCCACCTAGGCCGACCCAGCCTCAAATGAGTACCTGGTTTTATGTGTAAACATCGCCACTAGGGAGACAAAGGCGGTCTGGCGTGGTGCTGGCCACCCACCTCCTCGTGTACCGTTCCGGCCTTCATAGGTGCTCGCTAACAGCACCAATAATCTGTTAAGGTTGTCTTTGATGATGATGATGATAGTGGTGATGATGGTGATGATAACGATGATGAGGCTGGGAATGTCAGCTAAAGTTCCAGGGCACAGCAGAAGGAAGGCAGCGATGGAATATTGTTTGTGATGCCCCCACGAATTATTTCTCAACGTTCGCGGAATTTTTCGCGCAACTCCATCCCGAGACCGCTTTCGGATCGAGTCGCGCGAGACGATCGTCCACGAGCTCACGACTCGCACGCTTCTCACAGCGAGCAGTGCACCACCCAGCGTGAGACAGGGACCAAGAAACAAGATGCCACACAAGCACTTTACTCACGCCCAAGATCAACAACAACCACCCTCGCTTGCTTTGTCGCCTGCCAATCAAGCCAAAGATTGTCTATGGGGCCGTCCATAAATGACGTCACGCACCTGGGGGAGGGGGGGGGCGGGGGTCAGACATTTGTGACGATGTGTGACGAGGGTGGGGGGGGTTGAAAAATGTGACGTCACATCAAAATGCGCCAACTTTAAATCAATATAGAATTGTTATAACAAAACTCCTACAACATCAGAGTGCAGCGCCACATTAAATACGCACTACAATGACAACAGTCTAAAGCGATTTGAAGAATGTTTTATTTTCAAAATGGAAATATGGTTTTGGGGGGGGGGGGGAGGGAGGCAGAGCTTTGTGACGTCATATTTGAGGGGGGGTCTGACTTTTTGTGACGCCGCGTGACGAGGGGGGGGGGGGTCAAATTTCGCGTGACGTCATTTATGGACGGCCCCTATATATATATAAAAGGGAAATTTGTGAATGTGTGTCTGTTTGAAATGTTTAACCATACTTCCCGACATGCAACAAACTTGAAATTTGGCACGTGGGTAGCTTCCAGACTGTACACAATGCAAAAAGTATAAAAATAGACTTTTGTATTTGGGGGGGGGGGGGGGGGGTTGCAATAATGGATATATTTTGCACGGCAAGTGAGCGGTGATGTCACACCTGTGATGTCACCCGCATGCGGCAGCGTCACGCAGTGTGCCTACTGACGTCACGCATTGTGCCTGGTGACGTCACGCACCCCCCACTCGTTACTAATAACGTACTCAGAGCTGAAACGTTCTGCAATGAAGTGACGCGTCTAATTTAACACGATGAGGTTTTTAGTTTTGGTGTGTGTGCGTGCAGTCATTGTCGACTGCACCGAGACCATCAACTCACTACACTTGAGAACCCGGTTTAATTACAACTCAGTCTATGTGAGACAATTGGTCTCTATGCGGGACCATGGTCTCTATGTGGGACCATGGGTCTCTATGCGGGACCATGGGTCTCTATGCGGGACCACGGGTCTTTATGGGTCTCTATGCGGGACCATGGGTCTCTATGCGGGACCATGGGTCTCTTTCTAGGACCATGGGTCTCTATGTGGGACCATGGGTCTCTATTCGGGACCATGGGTCTCTATGCGGGACCATGGGTCTCTATGTGGGACCATGTGTCTCTATGTGGGACCACGGGTCTCTATGCGGGACCATGTGTCTCTATGGGTCTCTATGTGGGACCATGGGTCTCTATGTGGGACCATGGGTCTCTATGTGGGACCATGAGTCTCTATGCGAGACCACGGGTCTCTATGCGGGACCACGGGTCTCTATGTTGGACCACGGGTCTCTATGGGTCTCTATGTGGGACCACGGGTCTCTATGGGTCTCTATGCGGGACCACGGGTCTCTATGTGGGACCACGGGTCTCTATGCGGGACCCTCCACATGCTGAGTTTGCGTGTCGCATCTCCCCGTGGTGGTCGCGTGGACTTCTCTCCGGGTCCTCCGGGATGCCCCCCCCCCCACACCCCCGCCCCCCCCCCCACACACATTTAGAATCATCAACGTCACGGGGTTCAAGGTTATTTGGGAGCTGCAATAAAACGTCCACGTGACGAGGACGACGACGACGACGATGATGGCAGCCGCTTTTGTCGGGCTGCCACGTGCGAGATGGTCACGTGGCTCCCGACAACGGGCTTCAACGCGGCTCAGTGCGCCTCTGCTTAGCTGGTGGAACAACCCCCCACCCAAAAAAAACAAACCTGTTCGAGATGTTTAGTTGAATGGCTTCGTTTGACACGTAGGCTTTTCGCGTTCAACGTTATTCACGGTGGTGAAGGTTTGTGGGTTTGATGGCGTTCGTGTAAATGCGTCGTAACCCTCCACCGACCGACACAGCCAGTAGGGTGCGTCACGTAAACAACGCGCCAATTAGTTAACAGTGTAGTGTATAGTGCAGTGTAAAGTGTAGTTTGTAGTGTAAAGTGTAGCGTGTAGTGTATAGTGTAGTGTGTAGTCTATAGTGTATAGTGCAGTGTAAAGTGTAGTGTGTAGTCTATAGTGTATAGTACAGTGTAAAGTGTAGTTTGTGGTGTATAGTGTAGCGTGTAGTGTATAGTGTAGTGTGTAGTCTATAGTGTATAGTGCAGTGTAAAGTTTAGTGTGTAGTCTATAGTGTAGTGTACTGTATAGTGTAGTGTGTAGTGTAGTGTATAGAGTAGTGTATAGTGTAGTGTGTCGCGTATCGTGTAGTGTATGGGGTAGTGTATAGGGTAGTAAATAGTGTAGTGTATAGTATAGGGTAGTGTATTGAGTATTGTATTGTGTAGTGCATAGAGTAGTGTATAGTGTAGTGTATCGAGTAGTGTAAAAAGTAGTGTATAATGTAGTGTATAGTGTAGTATACTACTTCAGCCCACCGGTGCGTTGGAGAGTAAACCCACAACATCCGACGTTTCGCTGCTAACTACGCCCAGCATAATCGGCCGATTGTTTTTTTGTTGTTGTTGCTTGCCGGAACATCTCAGTTTAACAGCCTGCGTGTCCGCCCCATCTCTCTGCGTCTCACCCACGCGCGCAGCACCACGATGGAGCCCCGCAACCGCCCCGGGCACGCTCCGGCACCACCAAAACGAGACACGCCGCTTCATCATCATCATCAGCAGCAGCAGCGGCGGCGACCACTGCCGCCGCTGCTTCTCCTCCTCATCCTGTGGGTGGCCGTCACCCCGAGCCGCGCCGACATCTTCTGGCACAAGACGCGCGTGCCGCTGGTGCGCGACCTCCGGGTCGTGCCGCTCGACCCGTCGCTCTTCGGCGCGCCGGCCACACCGAGGGCCGCGTGCGGCCCCGTGGCCTCTCTGGCGTGCCGGCCCCCCTCGTCCTGGTGGCAGCACGACGCCGGGTCCACCCGTGGAGGAGGAGGTGGAGGAGGAGGTGGCGCTGTGGATGTCGGCTTCCTGCGGCAGCTGCAAGAGCAGTTGTCGTATGAGACGGTGGGTGACTACGACGGTGTGCGAGTGTGGTGGGTACCCATAGTGTGTGTGTGTGGTGGGTGACTACTACCGTGTGTGTGAGTGGGGAGCGGTGGTGTAGCGATTAGCGCGCTGCGCTACAAACCTGGCGACCCGGGTTCGATTACCGCTCACGGCCAACACCACCAGTGACGATTATCTGAACCGGTCCTGGGCCTCCCCTAGGTCGACTCAGCCTCAAATGAGTACCCGGTGCGATGTGTAGTAAACATCGCCACTGGGGAGACAAAGGCGGCCGGGCGTGGTGCTGGCCACCCACCCCCCTCGTGTGCCGTGCCGGCCTTCATAGGTGCTCGATAACAGCACTTGCCCCGACAGTCTGTTAAGGCTATACGGGGGATCTTTGTCTTAGTCTTTGTGGTGGGTGCTACTAACGTGAGGATGTGTGTGGAGGGTACCACTACCGTGTGCGTGTGGAGGGTACCACTGCTACTCGCAAACAGCACTTGCCCCAACAGTCTTTGTTTTTGGTGTGGTTCGGTGTTTCCACCGTGGCGAATCTGCCAGTCATCTCAGTCGGTCAACCCATGGCACCTGCTGGCTCTGTCCCGTGGACCTCGTGTCAGCGAGGCCTCCGACACTTCACGTGGCCTCAAAGTGCACCTAGCCTGGCACAGGCGCCTTCGCGACGTCACCGCCACTTAGTGGCGTTGTGTGGTGTGGTTACGGTGATTGGCGCGGCGATGCCCACGGCGCTGATGATGCCGGTAGCGGCGAAACCTGGAGGGCAGCTGTTGGCTTTTTCAACGGCAGCCATCGAATCTGGCAGCGGGATGGAAGAGATGGCTCGGTGGCGGTGGCCTCAATGGCATTGGCCGGAATGACCTCTTGACCTTTTGGTCATGATACACTCCCGTCGAGAGAGGCCATAGTTACCCTATCGGGGACAAAAAAAAATACAAAACCAAAGGTGTTGTTAGAGCTCAAAACTCCACTGCAAATAATGTTCACCTATCAAGCCAGGACATTGTCAGGTTCGCTTCCCGAACCAGCACCGTCTTGGAATGTGGAATTTCTGAAGGGGAGTTTAATCTTGGAAGAATTACTGGCACGAGCGTCGCAGACCCAACAACAATCACCACCACCACCGAAGATCCCCCGTGTAGCCTCAACAGACTGCTGGGGCAAGTGCTGTGAGAGAGTGGCACCTATGAAGGCCGGCACGGCACACGAGGGGGTGGGTGGCCAGCACCACCCTTGGCTGCGCCCGGTGCGATGTGTACACACCGCAAAAGGTGGCCATTTGCGGCTGAGTCGACCTAGGAGAGATCCATGACCGATTCAGATAATCGTCACTGGCGTTGGCTGTGAGCGGAAATGCGTGCCTGATGCGGCGTGCGAACGTCAGCACTGGGGATACAAAGGCGGCCGGGCGTGGCGTTGGCCACTCACCACGCCCGGCCGCGTCTGTCTCACTCGTCGAAAATGTTTACACACTGCACCAGATACTCATTTGAGGCTGAGTCGACCTAAGGGAGGCCCAGTGCCGGTGCAGATAATCGTCATTGGTGTTGGCCACGAGCGGGAATCGAACTCGGCTCGCCGGGTTCGGAGCGCACACACACACAAAGACAAAGATCCCCCGTGTAGCCTTACCAGACTGTCGGGGCAAGTGCTGTTAGCGAGTAGCACCTATCATACAACGACAACAACAACCGCCGTTCGTCACTAAGTGGCGGTGACGTCACCACGACGCTTGTGCCAGGCCAGGTGCACGTTGAGGCCACGTGAAGTGTCGAACGCCCGCTGGCAGGAGGTCACGGGGCAGACCCAGGTGCCACGGGTCGACTGACTGAGATGACTGGCTGATGCGCCACCTGTGCCCCCTACTGTGTCTATCATACACGCAAAAAAGACAAAGATCCCCCGTGTAGCCTTAACAGACTGTAGGGGACAAGTGCTGTTAGCGAGCACCTATGAAGGCCGGTAACGGTACACGAGGGGGTGGGTGGCCAGCACAACGCCCGGCCGCCTTTGTCTCCCCAGTAGCGATGTTTACTACACACCGCACCAGGTACGCATTTGAGGCTGAGTCGACCTAGGGGAGGCCCAGGACCGGTTCAGATAATCGTCACTGCTGTTGGCCGTGAGTGAGAATCGAACCCGTGTCGTCGGGTTCCTAGCGCAGCGTAGCGCTAACCGCTACGCTACAAAGACAAAGATCCCCCATATAGCCTTAACAGACTGTAGGGGCAAGTGCTGTTAGCGAGCACCTATGAAGGCCGGTAACGGTACACGAGGGGGGTGGGTGGCCAGCACCACGCTCGACCGCCTTTGTCTCCCTAGTGGCAATGCTTACACACTGTACCAGGTACTCATTTGAGGCTGAGTCAACCTAGGGGAGGCCCGGGACCGGTTAAGATAATCGTCACTGGGTGTTGGCCGTGAGCGGGAATCGAACCCGGTGTCGCCGGGTTCGTGGCGCAGCGTAGCGCTAACCGCTACACCCACCGCTCCCTCTCGTGCCCATCCACCCGCAGGTCTACGACAACGGCACTCGCACGCTCACCGAGGTGGCCATCGACGGCCTCGGGAACCGCGGCCCGGCGCCGCGTCTCCCGCGCCGCCGGCCCCGCCGCCAGATCTACGGTACGGACGGCCGCTTCACCATCGCGGCGGACGGCTTCGCCCAGCGGCACCCCTTCTCGGCGGCGGTGCGCCTCTCCACGGGCTGCACGGGCGTGCTGGTGTCGGAGCGGCACGTGCTCACGGCGGCGCACTGCGTGCACGACGGCCGCGACTACGTGAAGGGGGCACGGCGGCTGCGCGTCGGCTTCCTGAAGCGCCGCTCGGCGGGGCCGCTCGAGCGGCGAGGCGGCCGGGAGAGGAAGGGGAAGGGCCGCCGCCGCGACCGCTCCGAGCGCTCGCGGCCGACGCTCGACAAGGCGAGCTTCAGGTGGTCGCGCGTGCGTCGCACGCACCTCCCCAAGGGGTGGATCCGCCCGTCGCAGCCGCAGTCGCCCGCGGGCAACGTTGCCGGCACGGGCATGGACTTCGACTACGCCGTCCTAGAGCTGCGCCGCCCGCACGACCGCCGCTTCATGGAGCTGGGCGTGAGCCCCCCGGCGGGACGGCTGCCCGCGGGGCGGCGCCTCCACTTCTCGGGCTTCGACGACGACCGCCCGGGGAGTCTCGTCTACCGCTTCTGCGCCGTGGCGGAGGAGAGCGCCGAGCTGACGTACCAGCGGTGCGACGCGCGGCCCGGATCCAGCGGCTCGGGCGTCTACCTGCGGCTGCGCGACGCCGCCAAGCGCCGCTGGACCCGCAAGGTGGTGGGGGTCTTCTCGGGCCACCAGTGGGTGGAGGTGGGGGGCGAGGCCGCCGAGGGGGCGCCGCCGCCGCCGCCACCCCAAGACTTCAACGTGGCCGTGAGGATCACGCCGCTCAAGTTCGCGCAGATTTGCTACTGGGTGAAGGGGAACTACGCCGACTGCAGAGATGGGTGATGATGGTGGGTGGTGGTGGTGGTGGTGGTGGCGGGCGATGGGGTGACGGTGATGGGGAATGATGGTGATGATGGGCGATGATGGTGATGATGGGCATGGTGATGATGAGGATGATGAGCGATGATGATGGGCGATGATGATGGGCGATGATAATGGTGATGGGCGATGATGGTGATGATGGGCATGGTGATGATGGTGATGATGAGGATGATGATGAGCGATGATGATGATGAGCGATGATGATAATGATGGCCGATGATGGTGATGATGGGCATGGTGATGACGATGATGAGGATGATGATGAGCGATGATAATGGTGATGGTCGATGAAGGGCGATGGTGATGGACAATGATAATGATGGCCGATGAAGATGATGGGCGATGATGATGGTGATGGGCTATGGTGATAGGCGTTGAGGGTAATGATGATGGCCGATGAAGAGGATGATGATGATGATGATGGGTGGGAGCCGATGGCACAGGTATCAGATTGGCCGCCCTGGAATTTTTTAAAATTTTGAATTAATCTTTGATAAGTACGAAGCGGTCGAGGAGAGTCAGCTGTCTCTGTGTGCGAGGAATCGATGGCGGAGGTCAAGTTCCAGGTCGACTTCCATGTCGACTTGCAGGTCGACTTCGAGGTAGACGTGTAGGTCGACTTCCAGGTCGACTTGCAGGTCGACTACCAGGTCGACTACCAGGTCGACTACCAGGTCGACTTGCAGTCGACTTCCAGGTCGACTACCAGGTCGATTACCAGGTCGACTTGCAGGTCGACTAGCAGGTCGACTTGGAGGTCGACTTGCGGGTCGACTTGCGGGTCGACTACCAGGTCGACTTCCAGGTCGACTTGCAGGTTGACTTGCAGGTCGACTTGCAGGTCGTCTTCCAGGTCGACTTGCAGGTCAACTTGCAGGTCGACTTGCAGGTCGTCTTCAAGGTCGACTTGCAGGTCGACTTGCAGGTCGACTACCAGGTCGACTTGCAGGTCGACTACCAGGTCGACTTGCAGGTCGACTACCAGGTCGACTTGCAGGTCGACTTGCAGGTCGACTACCAGGTCGACTTGCAGGTCGACTACCAGGTCGACTTGCAGGTCGACTTCCAGTCGCCGCTGTGCATTTCCGATTCGATCAAAAACCCTTGCGCGTGTGTTTATTTTTATTTCACATTTTATGTTTTAATTACACAGCGAACGTATCAAAAGTATTTCCCAGGATCCAGTGTTCATTCCTCCAGCCTGCACGCCACTCGTCCCACCCATCACTTCCTCCTCCTGCTCCCAAAGGCTCCTGGGTCTCGGTGTCGTTAGCAAACCATCGCAACCCCCCCCCCCCCCCCAACGTGATCAACGCACTTCTATCTATTATTGTTGTGATGATTATTCATCTCTCTCCTATCTCCTCTCTCTCTGTCACTCACTCTCGCTCTCTCTCTCTCGTTCTCTACTCTCAAGCCTCCCCACGGGTGGTCCAGGAGGTGCCGTAACCCCTGGCTCTGCCACGAAAAGGCGGTACACCCAGCAAAGTGTCCAATCCAGCTGTTTCCCATCCGTACGGGGATAGAGCGTTGCCCCCTCGCACACGCGCATTTTCTCCGGATGCTCCGAGGTTTCCGCCCAACGTGCATAAGACGCTCATCACTAATCGCCCGATGGCACCTTGATACGTAGAGGAGCGCAGAGCTCGGGTAATCATTGCTGGCGCCGGCTCCTCACTACCGCGTGGCTGCTGCTGCTGCTGCTGCCTTCCTCGTCTGCGGTTCCTCCTCCTCCTCCTCCCCCTGGCGCCTCTGAGTCGTCCTTTCTCTCTCCCTCCCCTCCGAGTCGTCCCCTCCGTCTCTCTCGCTACGAGAGCGGGGAGTGGACGCCGTGCGGCTTGACATCGTTGTCACGAACAAGAGGGCGAACGCCTGCACAGCTGAGCCGCAGCACCGCGTCAAGGTTTTGTTGAACCGGGCGGGGAACTCGCGAGGCGCAGAGGACCGTCGAGTCGTGAGCCCGGGGGGTTGTCGATGTGACGAACAGCAAAACGCGAAAGGGGGGGGGAGGGGAAGGAAAGAACGAAACAGAATCGCAATTTCGGACGCGAAATAAAAAAAAAAACGATGAAGCACACGCGAATCGAATTCCAGACGGCAAGCAACGCACCCTTGCGACTTGCCAGAAATGAACGACGCATTTATATTAACGCGAGCTAACACTCCACCAGAAAACCCCCATTATCATGAACAAACATTGGCCTCGAAAGCCCGCTCACTCCTGTCGCTACCACCTCTCGACTTGCTGCGCTGGTTGAGGTTGCTCGTCGTTCGGGACGATGGAGCTCCGAGTGATCTCCCCGTGGTCTCGGGGAAATACTTCTTTATCGGGCTAACCATGGTCTTGGTGCCTTGGCTCTGGTCGGCGCGGCGCTGAGACCGTGGCTCCGGGTGACCACGGCTCTGGAACCGTGGTTCTGGAGCCGTGCCTCTTGGGTTCTACGTCTCTGGTTCCATGTTCTCTGGCTTACCACGGCTCTGGTTACTATAAGTTCTGGTTCACGTGGCCCCGGTTTAGGAGGGCGCGACTTTTATTTTTTCTTTTTCCGCGCCCTCTCGGTTTGGAACAAAAACGAGCGGCGGTTTCGATGTCGGATTTTTTTTTTTGGCCGCTGAGCGATGCCCCAGGCTTTTGCTCGCCCCTGCCACCAACGCAGCTCGCGTCGACACCCGTGGAGCTGTAACGCGCTGACGACGTGGCGCTACACCGCCGCTCGTACTTTGACCGACTCAAGATACATTTTGCGAGCACGTGTACGCGTCGCTCTCTTCTTGAGCTCGTGTTTGTAGCGAAGGCCGCGCGCGTTGCTACGTGCCGAGCGGTGGCCACATCGCGTGCCCGGCGAGGCACACTCAAGGGACTCGTGCCTTTGCCGCTGTGAGCAGCACTCCTCTGTGCGTCGTTGAAGCTCTCGAGTTGGTGGTCTAGGCAAGGCTGAGAGCGTCGCACAGGGATGGGAGTGGCGCCTTCCTGATTGTCCTGTTCTTCATGAGCAGCAGCAGTAGCAGCAGCAGCAGCACACCTCTGCGCGTCGCTAAAGCTCTTGAGTTGGTGGTCTAGGCAAGGCTAAGAGCGTCGCACAGGGATGGGAGTGGCGCCTGAGTTTCGCTCATCGTTTAACAGACGACGGGATTTTGGGGGTTCCCACACGAACCGATTCTCTGTGACCGATCCGGTGTAAATACACGCCACGCGCTGAAGCTTCAACCGCGTAACTTTCAACTCATTGGCATCGATTGTCGTCCACAACGCTACGAAGCCCAAACAAAATGTCCTTTGTTGTTGTTGTTGTTGTGAGAATAATAATAAACAAACAAAAACGAAAAGCCGTAATTGCTGATGCCGACGAAGCCGATGCTCGTTTCGCGAGCAAAATTAACCCGCGCCGCGAAGTTATTAACGTTGGTCGAGCGTCGTGTCGCGCGAATATGATGGTGCTAGGAATTGCACTAAACGTGGTGCTTAAATTAAGTGGAGAGAATGGCACCATGTAACACACACACACACCGTGTAGCTTACACAGTGAACACATACACACCGTGTAGCTTACACAGTGAACATACACACACCGTGTAGCTTACACAGTGAACACACACACACACCGTGTAGCTTACACAGTGAACATACACACACCGTGTAGCTTACACAGTGAACACACACACACCGTGTAGCTTACACAGTGCACACACACACACACAGCGTGTAAATTGCACAGTGAACACACACACACATAGTGTAGCTTACACAGTGAACATATACACACACACCGTGTAGCTTACACAGTGAACACACACACACACACCGTGTAGCTTGCACAGTAAACACACACACACACCGTGTACCTTACACAGTGAACACACACACATACCGTGTAGCTTACACAGTAAACACACACACACACCGTGTAGCTTACACAGTGAACACACACACACACACACCGTGTAGCTTACACAGTGAACACACACACACCGTGTAACTTACACAGTGAACACACACACACCGTGTAGCTTACACAGTGAACACTATCGGCGTTCACCGCGTTCTTCATACGCGGCAGCGTCCGGGATTTCGTGCGTGCGGCGTCGTCTCAGAGCCCGTAGTTCCCGTCGCCGCTCGCGCCCTGTTATCGATGACGAGTGTTTGACAGGCAATGATATTGTGTTATTTTAATGGAATAAAATTTGACCTCCAACCTCCCTGTAAAAAAAATGAAAAAAAAAAATGTTTTTCGCGACTGTGTTCAATGACACGCCACGTGGCACACTCAGCCAACGCGAATATTGTCCGGTCCACGCCAAGGTAAGTGTATCGTTCTCCACACACACACACAATGGTTTATGTGGCTGCTACCTTGGCGAACGCCCTACAAGCTCGTTCCCGCCATTGCCCTGAATCAACCACAATCCCACCTGTGTCCCGCGTCTCCCACCCCACGTCCACACGAACACGAAATAACATCAAACATCAAACTAGATTTCTGGTCTAGCACCAATTGGGTCGAGGCTCAAAAGAAAGCCGTCCCTTGGTGTGGACCAATCAGTTTCAAGGACAATGCATATATTGTCATAGTGCGTTTTTTTGTTTGCATTTTGATCACGAGTATTGTGGTTAATGCACACATGATTCCTTGTAAAAGGTTTAAGTTTTGTTGCCAGAAAAAAAAGTGGAAAAACCCTATTTTTATTAGAATAAAATAATTCATTGATAAAATAAAATAACACAATAAAATTCTCACGACGTTTCGGCCACAACACAAGCGGCCTTCATCAAGTGAAGGGACGAGACTGTCTGTCTCTCACTCCAGCGCTGTCCTACAGACAGTCTCGTCCCTTCACCTGATGAAGGCCGCTTGTGTTGTGGCCGAAACGTCGTGAGAATTTTATTGTGTTATTTTATTTTATTAATTTATTATTTTATTCTCATTCTACGTGACTTTACCGAAAGAACCAAAGAAGATGAATCCTTGCAGTCACGAAAGCTTTAAATCGAAACCGATTTTTATATTTTGGTACTGGCAAAGGAGTTATAATGATGTAGATTCGAACCCTATGTGTTTGTCTCTCTCTCTCTCTCTCTGTTTGTCTGTGTGTGTGTCTCTGCTTGTGTGTCTGTCTGTGTGTCTCCGTGTCTGCGTATTGTCTCTCTCTCTAAAATTTAGCAATCTTCGGAAGAACGTAATCAACCAGGTGGGGTGTTGACTGTTGTGTTAGCCGACTCTCTGTGTTCCATTGCATTCTATTTCTGAGTTTACTAGGTTCTTTTTTCTCTCTCTCAATCATTCGTACCTGATGATGATTGCTTGTGTTGCAATCGAAACGTCGTATTCTATTATTTAATTCATTTTCTTTCTACACGTGACTTTACCGAAACAACCAAAAAGAAACCCACCGCTCCACCACCACGATTGGCATTTCCAGCTCCTGCTGTTGCTGCTGCAAGCGAGCGAGGGAGCGAGGGAGGGAGCGAGGGAGCGAGCGAGGGAGGGAGCGAGCGAGGGAGCGAGCGAGGGAGCGAGCGAGGGAGGGAGCGAGGGAGGGAGCGAGGGAGCGAGGGAGGGAGCGAGGGAGGGAGGGAGGGAGCGAGCGAGCGAGGGAGCGAGGGAGGGAGCGAGGGAGCGAGCGAGGGAGCGCGCGAGGGAGCGAGGGAGCGAGCGAGGGAGCGAGGGAGGGAGCGAGGGAGCGAGCGAGGGAGGGAGGGAGCGAGGGAGGGAGCGAGCGAGGGAGCGAGGGAGCGAGCGAGGGAGGCTTCGCGGGGCTGTGCGGGCTACCAAAGGGAACGCGATGCGGTGTTTTCAATCCGCGACCCGACCTGGTAGAGACATCGCCGGAGCATCGATCAGCATGCTCCACGCTCCCTGATTTCCCTGGCACGAGCGGCAAACGGATTCAGCTCCTCCTCTTCCACCTCCTCCACCTCCTCCTCCACCTCCTCCACCTCCTCTTCCACCTCCTCCTCCACCTCCTCCTCCTCCACCTCCTCCTCCACCTCCTCCTCCACCTCCTCCTCCACCTCCTCCTCCTCCTCCACCTCCTCCTCCACCTCCTCGGCGGTGGCCCCGAGAGGCAGCCGCCGGCAACGCGCAGCAGGAGGTCAGAACTTCGGGGTGAAAAAGAAAGCACGGGGTGGCAATGTTCAGAGGGCTCCGCGTTCGGCTGGCGGGAGTAGACGTCCCCCCTGCCCCCCCTGCCCCCCGTACCGCCCTGCGTGTCGTGGTTCGCGCTACACTGCGCCTCGAAACCTCTGGCCAATCCCGAGTTCGATTCCCGCCCACGGCCAACGGCAGCGGCGACAGCGATTATCTGCACCGGCCCCGGGCCTCCTTCTGCAGGTCGACTCGGCCTCAAATCGTCACTCGGGAGACGAAGGTGGCCCAGGCGTGCTGTGGTGCTGGACACCCACCCACCCGCCCGCCCCCTCGTGTGCCGTGCCGGCCTTCATAGGTGCCACTCGCTAACGGCACTTGCCCCCGACAGTCTGCGAAGGCTATACGGGGGACCTTTGCCTTTGTGCGCATTGCATGGCCGACTTGTAATCGCTGGTGAACTCACGACGCCACCCCCCGTTTAGAGTTTAAACATTCCGCACGTAATTGTTTTCAATGTGCTTTCCCCAGCTGGTGATGACTTGGGGAGGCCTTCATCCAGCAGTGGATTGGTGATGGTGGTGATGGGCGTGACTGAAGAACCAGGCTATGTTTCGATTTAAAGCTTTCGTGACTGCAAGGATTCATCTTCTTTGGGTTCTTTCGGTAAAGTCACGTAGAATGAGAATAAAATAATAAAATAAGACAATAAAATTCTCACGACGTTTCGGCCACAACACAAGTAGCCTTCTTCAGGTGAAGGAACAGAACTGTCGGGACGACAGGCTATGGTCAAATCATCCAAGATAAGAATGCCCCAGATCACTCGTCAGAACTCGCAAGCCAAGTAGAATCAACTCCTGGATAAGTACGTTGGATGGGTGAGTGAGAGGGTGAGTGAGGTGGGTGAGAGGTGCGAGTGAGTGGGTGGGTGTGGATAAGTGCTATGGTGGGTAATCGAATGCTGGATTATTGGCCACGTGCACACCGTGCGAACATTATCGGAATATTTATTTATACCGGAGGTATCCGCTGAGCTATGAAGCGTCTTTTTTCATATCTGTCCAGTTGACATGTGAGCAGTGCCTCTAAATAAGAAACAAACAAACAAAAAAACATCGCATCAAGTTTCAACTTTGAAGTAATGGGTTGAAAAATTAAAGGAGACGTGGGAAAGTAATCCATGAAAAAAACTGTAACTTTTTTCGCCCCCATTCCAAAATGCCAAAAACTCATTACACACAGTCTTTCCTCGATTTACGAGCAAGCGCTAAGGAAGCTTCACGTAGCTTAGGGCCCCATCAATGTTATAATCCGGCCCTGAATCTGAGCAGCAACTCCTGTGACTCCCAGCCCCAAGCCCCAATTCCACCACCGACCACACCGCAGACATAAAAGGGACACGCTCTCTCGCCTGTGGCTGGATGGTTGCATTTGTTTATTGGTCAGAGGATTATTCTGACTCAAAGCCGACAGCGTCTGGCGGAGGGCGCCGTGTGATGATGATGATGGTGGTGGTGGTGATGTGGACGGTTGTCTGGATACACGTGGGGAAATTTACACCGACCTCCCTTCGCCCACCCCCCCAAACCGACCTCCCCTTTGATCTGGACGCTTTGACGAGGTGTTTTCTTAAAGTCGCGAGGTCAAGGTTCGTGTACCTACCAGGCTTCTTTTTTGTTAACAGTGGCAAAAGAAATCCATTCTGGTTAAACACATGTACGTACGCGCATGTGTGTGTGTGTGCAAGTGTGTGTGTTCGAGAGATGTAATGATTTGGCTTTGTGTTGGAGAGATGGAGTGATGTCGTACACGAGGATGTGGAGCTGAGTGGACTTGCCGATGACTGGTAACAGCGGTGTCAAGATCGGCCTCTGTGGAGGAGGCTCGTGAAGGACGCTACTGGGCAGTTGGAGGCAGTCACCCTCCAACAACAACGGAGGGCGGAGGAGCGACGCTCACAACAACGAGCGGAGCGCCGGGGCGGATAAAACACAGCGAGTTGGCACAGTCGGGGTACAGGTGGTGCATCGGCTACTCATCTCGGTCATCTCAGTCAGTCGACCCGTGGCACCTGGGTCTGCCCCGTGACCTCCTGCCAGCTAAAGGGGGTTCGACGCTTTGCGTGGCCTAAAAGCGCACATAGCCTGGCACAAGCGCCGTGGTGACGAATGGCGGTTGTTATTGTTGTTTGTGTTGTTGTATGTGTTGTTGTGTTGTTGTATGTGTTGTTGTGTTGTTATT